TTCCATTAAAGGGTTAATGCAGCAGCTGTTGCTGCTGCTGTTGCTATTGCTGTTGCTGCTGCTGCTGTTGCTGCTGCTGCTGTTGATGTTGCTCAGGTTAAAGTAATTCGGGTAAATGCTTTTTGCAGGCAGCTCGGCTGCTTCTCTGTCTGTGTGTGTGTGTGTATGTGTGTGTGTGCCGCATCACTTTATACAAATATGCAGCGTGTAGCAACAAATTACATTTTAGGGCTGTGTGGGCGAAGGGGGGCACGGTGGGGGCTGCTTCCCTTGAGTAGTTTTGCTGCACAAAATTGCATGCAGCATTTTAAATAATTGAATCAGCGCCAAAAGTGAAGCTTGCAATGATTTCGAACTGCTTGCCACATGCCACACGCCGCACTTGCCACGCCTGAATTTAATTTCCAGTGTCTTATACAGAACATAATTTCACCTGTCCATTTTTTCGTCTACTTCTGTTTTCGCTGCTCCACATAAATAAATTAAACGTAATTCACACGTAAGAATGCTTCGAGTAAAAACAAGTGCGAATTCAGCCGAATGAGCAAATAAATATAATTATTTAGCCACGCGGAGTCGAAGATTAAATGCTCTATTTGATCTTTAGGGCGTACGAACTATTTTAGGCATTCAAATTTATTTATTTATTTTATTTGTTTTTAATTTGAGGAGAGAAAGCTTGGACTACAAGCAAATAAAAAATTAAAAATTAAATGTATATTAAGAACCCAATATTTAAAAACTGTTGGGTCTCCCCTTAAAAAAAAATAAAATAAAAAAAAAAATAAAAAAAAAAAGGATAAAGCAAAAACAAATCCATTAAACAATAAAAGCTCTTTGTTTTTTTTTTTTTATAAATTTTTGGTTTTATTATTTATTAATTTATTTTTTCATTTTTTTAATTAATTATTAATTTCTTTTTTTTATATTTTTAAAATTATAAATTTTGTAACCTTAGTTAAACTCCATAAGAAATTAACTTCTCATATCTTAACTCCTCTAAAAATCCAGACTAAAATCTACATAAATTAAAGTAAAATATTATTTTAAATATGTTAATTACATCTATCCCTAAATTTAAATGTCGCATTAACTAACTCTATTAAAATATGTTCGTCCCGCTCAAACTGTTTTGAAATAACTCTGAATTTTCAGTCATAGCAACGGCGTTAAGCTTTATTGCTTTTTAAGCTGAAACAAGCTGCATGAACAAATTATAATGCTGCCCCTCAGGGTATTTAGATAAAAAAATAAAGTTTTTCTTGACTGCTGCACTAAATAAGTCTGCAGGTTGTTGTTTTTGTTGTTGCCTCTGCTGCTGCGCTAGTTGTTTATGTGCAGGTAAAATTTATTGCAAACGCAAACACACACAGACAGAGAGAGAGAGAGAGAGACAGAGAGAGAGAGAGAGACACACACACACACACACTTAAGTAGACGTGAAACTGTCTACAGTTGCCGCTCAAACATGTCCACTGGCACTACGTGCTCCTCCTTCCGACACGTCCTGCTGACTGCTGCTGCTGCTGCTGCTGCTCCTGCTCCTGCTGCTGTTGCTGCTGCTCTATGACTCAGCCTCCAACTTGGACTCGGCGCTGGCCCGGTTTTAGCTACGTGCCTAATGCTAACAAATGTCACAGCTCTTACAGCGCCCAATCTCTACGCCCTCTCTCTCTCTCTCTCTCCCACTCCTGCTGTTGTGGGTGTCGTTTGTCCGCTGGCATTTGTCACCCCGAAACTGTGAGCGTCTGCTGTGCATGCAGTTCGCATATTCAGCTCAAACTCCTTAAAGCTGAAAAAGTGCTGGCATTGCACATACGCAGCGTTGCCTGCTGCCGGCTGCCGGCTTCCTGCTGCCGGCGCTTAATTGAAAATCTACACGCGCAAATTCCAATGCAAACACAATTTTTACATTCGTTTCGATGTCAGTTGTTTTTATGGTTGTTTATTTGTTTATCCCATAGTCTGGCTGAACGATGTCGCGCAGCATATATACATATACATATACATATATATGTATAACTGCGCTTGTTTATGATTCACTGAGTTGACAAATTCGTTTGAGCCGCCACACATGGCTCGCCCCACCGCAGTCCAGCGTAACCAAAACTAGTCGCAGAGCACCACAAAAATAAATAAAAAAAAACAGCAACAACAACAAATTCGTCTAGAGCAGCATAAAAATATGTAGATGCTTCGTATATGATATGGAATGGCATGTCACTTTTGTGCAGCATCATCATAATTCACATACACATACACATACATACATGTATGTATACAGCCAAAGCAAATGGATAAGGATGTTTTGCCCAGTTGCCAGTTGGACTGAATGGAAAAGGAATGCGATTAGAGTAATGTTATTAAAGAGTAAATAACTGATGTTGAAGTTGATATCATGTAGAGAGGGAGAGAGAGAGAGAGAGAGAGAGAGAGATAGAAGAGACTATACGAATAAAGCTTAAACAAAAGTATATATCTAAGGATGCATGCCACAGAGTAAGAGCATATGATAAATGCTAATATTGCAGAAAGACAATACATTAAAAGATTTGCAGTCCTGAGTAGTATGAGTATGGGTGATAATATAGGAGATGGAATCTTGTATAGCTTCTAGTTTGAGTGCAGCAATCGAAACAAAAATGTAGAAAAGGAACTAAATGAGTAGATTACACAGAGTAGAGCATATATACTAAGGCTGTTGCTCAGAGCTAATATAGTAGGAGAAATGTTTAGATATATGACAGAAAATACAGTACATATAGTATGACTTACAATATAGAGAAATCTGTTATCATATCTCAGTCGATATAGTCAGAGTAATCCTTTATCATACCTATATCTCATAGCTCTCGCTCTCAGTAAAAGCCTTCAGTTCTTTTCGTGCTGGCTCTCAGCGCATTGAGTTCAACTATTCTTTAGTTTAGCGAACATCGTTCAGACAGCGACACTATAGACACTCGTTCAAGAGCTTTAGCTCAAAGGGTCAATGTAAACACATAGACATTCCCCTTCTCATACTCAATTCACGTACGATATCTCTAAACTCAACTCGAATAGTTGGAAAGAAGTCAAGAGCGGAAAAACCCGCTCGCAAACGAAGTCGTTACAGAACCGAGGCAACAGAGTTTTTTCTTTAAATGTAAGTCAGAAATGATTATTTGCAGACATCGAGAAATGGTCAACAGTTATTTGTGAGCTATGGTAAAGAATGCAAATAAATTAAGTAAATAAATAATTTATATTATATTTATACCCATGCATCACTACTCACATTTCCAAGACAATATTTTTATTGAACGTCTGAATTTTATTTTGAATTTCATAATCCTCAATGCCATAAACATAAGAAATATGATATTTTCTTGTATTTATTTTGCCTTTGCCTGAAAAATTCGCAATTTTTATTGATGAGTTGGCAAAGCAATAAAAACCATAAATCGTTTCAAAATGCATTACGTTTTAGATTTATTGTCTTCTATTTGTTGCTTTATTGCATAAATATATATAGTATATTTTGAGGAAATACTTATTTCTTTATTGTTTCTTGCAATTTTTCATGTGTTTTCATGCCCCAAAATATTTCTGCAATCTATTTCCCATTGACATTCGAGCCTTTATTAATTTTTGGCATTTTCTGCAGAAGATTTGCAGCTCGGGTTTTATATTTCCATTTCATTTGCTGTTTATTTCTTTGAATTTATGTTTGCCTAATCATCTGTTCGATTGTTCGCTTGTAAATTGAGTAAATGGATTTTCTTATGCTTGATGCTTAATCGTGGCCCCTTTTTGTCTTCTGACTTGAGTCCTGCACCAACATTTTGCATAGCGTGTAGAAAAACACACTTGATGTGCTGCTCTGTGGTGCTCGTCATCTGCTCGGGCAGCTGTGTGGGTTGTAGCTGCTGCTCCGTTGACTGCGCATGAAAAATGGCGTTGCTTATTAAACATGCTCCAACGAATACAGGGAGCCAGCTCTGATGAGGGGCAGCCCCAACAGCAGCAGCTACTAAAAACATGTTGAGCTTTAAACTTTGCCCTGGCAGACTTTTAGTTTTCCCCTCAGCTTGTTTTTATACGTCAAGTGCCAAATCATATTCAATGCAAACGCGTGCACTTAGCGTTCATTAGAGTGCGTGTGTGTGTGTGTGTGTGGTTGCCTTTAAAAAATTGTTGCACATAACATGGCGTATACTTAACGTTACGTATACGCAATAAAACGTTGCCAGCTATGGGAGCTGCTGCTAGAAAGCTGAAAGCTGCTTGAGACGTTGCACAAAAGGCTGACTCGCAGCTGACTACTAAAGTGACCTGAATTTAGAAGACACCCACACATATGCACACCCACACACACACACACACATGCACAAGCAACTCTTGTTTAATGCAGCGGCGCCTCGCAAAGTAGGCAACTTATTGAAATTTATGCGACGCCTTCTGTCTCTACGTGCATGTGTGTTTGTGTGAGTGTGTGTGCATGTGTGTGTGTGTGTAAGTATACACAATGTCTTGGCTTTAAACCTTTGACATTTTAGCTCAGTGGCACACCCAAACATGCACTCACACCCACACACACCTACACCTACACACACACATGCCATTTGGCCTGCATTCATCTATTTGTTAAGCTGCGCTCATTTTGCAATTTGTTTGTCGCTTTGCGTTTCGCTTTTCATTAAATGCCGCAGCAATTTGTATTTTCTACGCTGAGCTGCAAGCCACATAAACACAACAACAAAAGCAGCACACACGTTGGTCAGCTGTGGCATCCTTTTGAATGACGCACCAAAAGTTCTAAAAAAAAAAAAATGAAAGACCAAAAGCGTGCAATTAAAAGTGAGCAAAAAATAATTCTTTAGTTTGTGGAGAGCTTAGATACCCTAGCAGGGAATAATGAATAATAATATATGAAATAAAGCATATATAAAATAAATTATAAATTTAATATAAAATGAAGTATATACAAAATAATGAGAAATAAAATAAATAATAATAGTAAAATAAATCATAATAAAATAAAAAATAATAATAAAATAAATAATGATAATGAAATAAAAAATAATAATAAAATAAATAATAATAATAAAATAAATAATAATAATAAAATAAATAATAATAAAGTAAATAATAATAATAAAATAAAAAATAATAATAAAATAAATAATGATAATAAAATAAATATAAAATAAAATAAATATAAAATAAATTATATATAAAATAATGAGATATAAAATAATAAGATAATAAAATTTTTATAATGTCTGCTGCTATTCCTCATGCTATATATACCCTAAATTCACATTAAGTATTTATAGAACATGGCATAAAGCATTAGCTCTCTTTCTCTCTCTCTCTCTGTCTCTCTCCCTCTCTTTCTCTCTCTATCTCTCTCTCTCTCTCTCTCTCCCTCTCTCTCACTCCCTCTCTCTCTCTCCCTCTCTCTCTCTCTCTCTCTCTCTCTGCTTTCTACAAGCAATGACCAAGCACAAAGTCAAAGAGTTGGCTCAGCAATTGCTGCACTGCAACTTGCTCGCATCTCAATTTGCACTCAAAGGCACAAAGAAAAACAAAAAACTGGTAAAATGAGCAGCTAAAAGAAAATACTAAACAAAAACGAAAAAAATAAAAATAAATAAATAAACGCGCAAGAAAAGAGCTGATGATATGTGCTAAAAAGAAATTTAATTCAAGCGCTTCAACTACGTTAACGAAGTTTAAAGTCTGACTAAAATAATTTAGACGTGCAACTAAAGAGGAAAAAATGAAGAGCTTGTATAAGATAGTTAAATAGAAAACTATACATATATACTCTAAGTGATATAGAGATTTCTGGCATTTACTTATAATAGAGTAGATAAGATAAACTAATAATACCTGACTATAAAATACTTGTACTTCATATGCTATGCAGGAATATGTAATACAAATTTCAGATTCCTAGTCCATAAATATTCAGGTAGACTGGCTTAGCGTGCCTAATCAAAAATTTTGTATACCTTATGTGGCTCTCAACGCCCTCCACTGCCTTCCACATATATTTTCAGAAACTCAATGGCTTAAGAGTTTAATAAAAACACAGTCAAACCTCAGGACTAGTTTTCACATATACAAATTGAATATTATCCATTCAACGATTTTCCCAACTCAAGCATGTTAAGCATACGCTCAGTTTTACCAAGTTCCGCTATAAAACTCACACTTTAAGAGTCTCTCTATTTATCCCGTTTCTCAATTTACGAGTGAACCCGAATTGAAATTGGCCAAACACATCGGAACTACTGGAAGTAACAAAGTCATATTGCAGCACATTTATTTTTGAGTTAAGCCACGAAGCATAAACAAACAATCGCCTGAGCATTAGCTGGCCAATTTATGTGGAAGCAGACGTCGTGATAGAGAGAGAGAGAGAGAGGGAGAGAGAAGGGCGGGAGATAGAGGCAGAATCTAAAGTATTTTATTTATATTTACTTTGGCGAAAACATTTAAATGCCTTCTGCCGCTCCGCCCCCAAGCTGGAAATTGGTCAGGCCGCCCGCGGAGGCCCCCAAAGCCCGCGACAATTTACGGCATGAACTGCTGGAACTGGCTTAGGAGCAAGACATTCCGGCGTAGTCTCTGTGTCGCAATCGCAATCGCAGTGCCACCCGTCGACCGTAATTGTAGTCAACAAATATATATATATATATGTATGTATATATATTTAGTTGAAAATGACGGGCAAAACAAACGTCAAATGTCGGCTGCTTTGCGTGTAAGTGAAGCACGTGACCGGCATACACCACAGCGCACTGAGGTTTCTTCTTCATTTATCCGGGTTGAGCTCGCGTTGTCCGTATAAAATGCAAATGTTTACGGCTGTGGCGGGCGCGAGAAACGTCGCACCAAATGGCCTTCAACTGACGCCCGCCTCGCGGTACATACGTAATGACCCAAGTTGTCCAACTTGACAAAACCCAAAAAGGTTGCCTGCTGGCCTGACTGATACCCCGTGCAAAGGCTGAAAAGGTTTTATACATATGTAAATTTATATATTGAGAAGAAAGTCTTAAAAATTACTCGAGATGAGCTGAGATAAACTCTGGATCTACATATATGTAAATGATATTTGATTTCTTGATATCGACATTAAGACTTACAGCGAGATTGCCACTTGGCCCTCTTGGTTACTCCTTAAACATTTCTAATTACAGGGTATACATGACAAACAATAGCCCCAGCCTTACTTCAACCTACCCAGCAAATAAAAATGAACCGAACTTGTTGACGTTCCATTGCAGCGCAGCAGCGAGTCGTTGCTCTCGGAGCGAGTCCATTCGAATGTGCTGGACATGGAAAAGCACTTCGAAAGGGCTGCAAGCAAAAGCAATTTCCGGTTGGCGGCCATTTGCTGTTTGCGCGTCATTTCCGCTGCCGCTGCCACTGCTGCTGCTGTTGCTCGTCAACCCAAAGAGAACAGAACAGAAGAGAGCAGAGCTCGCCCACCTCTGTCCACTTCACACCTCCCTCTTCCCTCTGCCCTCTGCCAGTGTCTTTGTCCTCTTGGGTTAGCCCCGCTGCTCGTTCAGTTTGACAACACACAGCAAACAAATTCAAATTAAAATGCGTTACGTGATTTCTGGCCACGATTTGGCGTACAAAATTTAACGTGTGGAAAATTGACAATTCCGTTGACAACTTTTCACAGCGGCACTTTGGACTCATTTGCTATGCAAAGTTCGCTGGCTTTAATGAATTGTTTTTGCTATTTATATTTATTCAATTGGCTTGAAATGGACAGAGAGAGAGAGAGATAGAGAGAGCATGAGAAGGAGCCAATTGCAAATTAGTTGAGCTTGGCTCGTCTATTGAACAATCCAGCAGATGTACCCGCATAACTGTATCTGTAGCTATATCTATATGCCGTAGCTCTATCTGGCATCTGCATTGCTTTGTGTTTGTCTGTGGCTAGCCGCTACGGAAGTGCTTGCTGTTTGGATATTGCAGCCGGATGTGCAGTTGAACATGTCTATAAAGGCAGACAGTTGGACAGTTGGACAGCTGGACAGGTGCCCGCTCACCCAACCACAGAATCAATCGCACAGAGTGTGCCGTCCCTTGGTGTCTGTATCCAGCTGGCTGTAATTGTAATTGCTGCTCAGCTTACCTAGCTCAATTTATACCTGTATATGCCAGCTCACTCTAAACCTCCACTCCCTCTCCCCCTCTTCTGCTGCAGCATTTCGAGCAGAGTTTTCAGTTTTTGTGAGATTAATTAAGCTTACGTGAGCTCATAATTCATTGTGTGAAGATAATCAAGTGAGTTATCAATGCCATACGTCTGACGACTGACTATCTCCGCAGGGAGTCAAAGTTGAAATTGAACTGTGCAGATAGACAATCAGTGTGTTTAGTGTTAGGGCTATTGAAACTGTTAATTAGTGAAATGTTTGCAAGTGGTTGCACCTTTTGGTGTAGTGCCGGAATTTTCTCTGCTTTGTTTTGCATAGGGAATGTCAATAATAATAATGGAAGCAGATAAAGTTAGGTTTATGTAAATATTGAATATATTTCTGTTCTTTCTGAAATGTTAAATAAATATATATAAATAAATAAAAATAAAAATATATAAATATAAATATAAAATTTAAAATTTAAAATATAAAATATAAAATATAAAATATAAAATATATAATATAAAATATAAATTATAAAATATAAAATATAAAATATAAAATATAAAATATA